TGTTAGGCTTACGATGAGAATATATTTCAAAATTAAAGTGTCAACTGACTGAACAAAATTATTTCTAGTACATGATAAGAACATGTGTGGATACATATGATGAAGAGACACTATGTGCAAAGTAATACATAATTTAGAGGTGAGATCTTTTTTTCAGTAGAGCTGTAACATTTTCTTCTTTCCACGCTCTACTTAGAGAGCAATATAGTATGAAAATGATGCTTACCTAGAACACTGATTTTGTGTTTATCATTCATGCCGTCATGTCTTGCCATCTTACTTCTGTGCGAAAACGGGTGAAGAAGCTTGTTGGTAACGCAAGACACAAGTCTAAGACATCTGTATCAGCTAAGCGAAGGAGTGCCTTGCTGATGAAGGAGGCAGAATCAACGCTCAGTGTGGCCAACCCCGAACACTGAGAGGGAATTTGTTGCTGATGTAAGAGACTGCTGCCATACCGTAATCTGAACTCACGATAAAAAAGCTTGTTGCTGCTGGAATACCCGGATAAAAAAAAAGCGTCGTGTGTCGTCATCTCTCGGGTAGAAAAACCAACAGGGGCACGCCATGAGGCCCAAATCCCCGTCGGAGGCGAGAGAGGAGGAAGAGCATCAGGCGAGGGGCGGATGGGGCGCCTCTCGCCCGCTACACGCTCTGGACGCCATCCAATACCCGCAAAGTGCTGCGAGACTCTCAAATGTTGTCTTCCGCCGCCTGAGTTGTGTATCTTAACATTTTCTCCGAGTTTCATGCCGGGAAATATCATCAAGAGGTCCTCTGACGCGCTGAGTGAGGAAGTAATTCGAGTGAAGAGGTGGAAGGAGAGAGATAGAAAGAGAAAGATGTATATACAAATGCAAGCACATACATACAAAACAAAACTATCGACAAGAACCTTTGATAATTGGTAACGAATACACACACACACACACACACACACACACACACACACACACACACACACACACACACACACACACACACACACACACACACACACGCACACACACACAAACACACACATGAGTGATTTCAGCTACAAAAAAATAGATTTGGAGGATTAGGATCCTCATGGGGGACCGAAAATGTGATATGTGAAGTTGATGGTAGTGATTAGCGGAAACTTTTTTCTCTTCGAGTCAGCATGTTACTGACACAACGAAAGAGAGAGGAGGAGATGAGCTATCCAGAATGGACACAGTATTTGCTAGAAGTACATCTGACATAGGTAAAATAGTATATGAGATCTCACTGGGTGCTAGGAACTCTGCAGTCTTGAACTTCGGTGACCTTTCGGAACTAACCCCAGAGGGAAAAACGACAGGTGGAGGGCTCTTGAAAGCAGTCTTCAGAAGAGCAAGCTTCGAAGGGATAAGTGAATTCCTCAAGATAATATAAAGAAAAAGAGAAAACTGGAAGTAAGTTCAAAGGATGAAATGATCGAGTACCTAGCTGGAAAGCACAAAGAAACAGAAGAGAACTTTATGCTCAAGAGAAATGGTGTAAACAGCAAAACCATAGAGATCCCTTGGTTCAGCCAAAACAAAAGTGGAAAACCGTGGAAAAACACTAGAAAGTGAAAGACAGACGAGAACAGAGAAGTTATCAGAAGAGCAAAAACAAATATGCAAGAGCTGAGCAACAATTTGAGAATGGCTTTGCTGCAAAGGCCAAGTGTGAGTCAAATCAGCTTCACAACACGATCAAAAAGTAGACGGTAGTAACAGACCAGGTAGAAGAACAAAAAGGCACAATACAGTGAGAGGAACAATACATAAATAGCCCGCACATAGGAGAGAGAGAAGCTTACGACGACGTTTTGGTCCGACTTGGACCATTAACAAAGTCACACTAACACAAAGAAGTAAGGGAGCCAGAATATATAGGCGAGGGGGACAAGGACGGGAATAGGAGAGGTAGAAAAACAAGTATTGGTAGTGGTAAGGGTGACAGTGGAAGTAGTAATAAAAGTAATAGTAGTAGTAGAAAAAAGGGAGAGTAGTTAAGTAGCCACTTAACTACTCTCCCCACTTTCTACTACCGATATATATATATAATATATATATATATATATATATATATATATATATATATATATAATATATATAAATATATATATATATATTAATCGTGCCGAATAGGCAGAACTTGCGATCTTGGCTTAAATAGCAACGCTCATCTAGCCATATAGGACAAGTGAAAATTTGTGTATGCAATAATTTCGCCAAAGTCATTCTGAACCTAACGAAAAAAATATATTTCACTGTGTTTGTTTAGTGTTAAATTATTGTAAACAAATCTAAAATATATTTAGTTGGGTTAGGCTAAAATAAATTGTTCTTGTTATATTAAGGTTAGGTAAGTTTTCTAAGATTCTTTTGGTGCAAAATTAAAATTTCTTACATTAACATTAATGAAAAAAATATATATTTAAACGTGTAAGAGAAAATTTTAGAAAGGACTTAATTTTAAATGAGTTCTTGCTAATTGACCAGTTTTACATATTCGGCACGACATATATATATATATATATAATCTATATCTATATAATATATATATATATATATATATATATATATATATATATAATATATATATATATATATATATATATATATATACACACATTTATGAAAGTATAATATAACACGACAAAGCAAGACAGAGACAAAAGCTGGCCCACTAATGAGGTAGGGAGGAGGAGGAAGGAAGGGGAGAGGAGAGAAGACAGTGAGACAGGTTTAACAGCAACAACACGTTTCTCAGCCACCACTGTGGGCCACTACACACTCACAACCACCAACAATTATATTCTCAGTTTCTCCAGTTTTGTGTTCATTTATTTGCAACACTAATATGAGTCGTATCATTATAGTCTCGTAACCTTCTTGGGACTGCTTTAAGTAGCTATATAAGGATTTTTTTTCGGAGAAAAGCCTCTCATTACACTTTGAAGATTTTTTACCTCACTGCATTGCACCACAACAGGATATGAACACCGTAAGGTGTATGAGGTGTATGAGAGATTATTTATTCCCTATTTTAGGGATTAAGGTGTTCTTGACTTTTGGTAAAAGGGTGATATGCAGTTTTAATGACCCTCGTGTGGTTATGTTGCCGATAGGCTTTAAGCCCCATTTACCAAACCAATCGCCACACTCCTGCGGTACACAAGACCATCATGGGTATACACACCGATAGGTGTGTATATGCCAGACGTGTAGGAATTTACACCGAGTGATGTGTCTGATATGTGTTTACACATTGTGAGGGATACACACTTCTCTTTCATATTCACGGAGAGATACAAACCTCTCGTATAATATGCACTGAAAGACACACCTCTTGTAGTATATACAATAAGAGATACGTCTTTCGAGGTATATTCACCGAGAGATTAAAAAATTCTCTTAGTGTATATACCTTTATCCTGGTGACTGGATCTTTATCAAAATAATTGAAGCTACCCTTCCTAGCTTACATTATTATTATTATATTCATGGGGGAGAAATAAACTTCATAGGGGTCATACAGTGCGTCGGGGAATGAATGACATTCAGGCATGATTCAAGGAATTGTAGCATATGCCCAGTTCTTCAGATCAAGAGCCCCTCACCAACATCAGGGAACCTTTTCTGAGAGGTCCTAGCTTATATTAAGCCTGAACACCTCCCATTCCTCATTCAATGTTTATCTCGTACGAGTTAAGGGATTTGTGGATAGAATTTGCTAGTTCTATAAGTGACGTAAGCTATTGTTAGTAAGTGTTAATTGTCTATAAGCCTTGAGGGATCAATTATCATAGAGGGAACTGTTATCCTAGGAGACCTATTGTCTATTATCCTGGAGGGACCTATTGTATATCAACCGAAGGAGAACTATTATGCTAGGGGATCTTTTATTTATTAACCCTCTAGGATAATAGATAACTGGTCCGATGGGAAAATACTTAGCAGAGTTCTGGACTGGACTAATGGGTCTACGTTCCGAGCATGAAACTTAGTCCGAGCGCCGGGCAAGCTGTAGGTAGGTCTCAGACCTGCAACACTTTAGTCCTAAGGCGAAAACAACCCAGAATTGTGGGTACGAGATCAATTATACCACTGAGCTCTTTTGAACTCTTTATTTGGACGAACTTTCACCACACCAATAAGCTGTTTCAAGCCTCTGTGGGGGAAACATAGTCCAAGGATTGTTTTGCAGTAAGTATATTCGTTCTAGTTGAATTCAACTCGTTTGCTGAGGAAATACATATTCACATATCCCCCCAAACAGGTAAAAAATGCATATCTTATTTTAATCCTAATAACATTAAATTAATTATAAGTATCACGAATATACACATACCTTTGTATTCGCTTCGGTATAAACAACCGCGGTGAAAGATACATGATGCATAATAAAGTTCACAAATGCACTCCAAGCACAGTATTAACATTAAAATGAGTTTATACATAAGGAGACAAAATCATATCCAGTAATCTGAATAATTCATGTTGTGTTAGTGAAATATTTCATAACACAGGTAACACATAAAGCACCTCAAACCATGCTATAATATATTAAACTTTAAACTGGATATCACATATAATGAAAGGAATGACAGTTAATGTTAAATGAGTGTATTCAACATGCATTTTGTAATTCAACACACAGTACGTAATATTCAATATACATTGTATTATATTCAATATACAATGTTATTCGATATACAGTTTTCAATACTGCTATATATAATTTACAGCAAAGCGTTGATTACGTTCTAACAAATGATCGTTAAGCACCTGTTAAACGATCACAGTTTTTAGGTCGAAGCTATATATATATATATATATATATATATATATATATATATATATATATATATATATATATAAATAATATATATACAGAAACATAAATTCATAATCAATACTTTTTAACATTAAATAGTGGACTCAAAGAATATAGAACTCTATGAGCTGTTATATTTACATTAATAACTATTTTTATGTCGTCAGCTAGAGGGTGGTTTTTGATTCAAGGAATTAGAGATATCCTCCTCATCCTTGGATCATTCCTGATTATTTCCCCATTTCTTAATTTATAAATGTTCTTTTTGGGTTTAGAGGTTCCCAACGAGTAAAATAATTGCAGAGATATCTGACAACTATTGAATTTTCTCATTAACATAGAGGTAACTCGGTAAATCATGGCACTGTTTTGATAGATGGTGGTTTAGTTGTAGTCGATGATAACGTTGTAGTAGTAGATGATTTCGTAGTTGTAGTAGAGGATTTCGTAGTTGCAGTAAGTGATAGTGGAGTCGTGGTAAATTCTTGCGTAGTTTTGGTAGCTGACGATGTAGTTGTGGTTGATGCTGACGTAGTTGCTGTGGATGATGTCGTAATTGAGGTAGATGATGTTTTTGAGGTAGATGGTGACATAGTTGTTGTAGATGATGTGCTACTTGTGGAAGATGATGGTGTATTTTCAGTAGATGGTAACATAGTTGGTGTAGACGAGAGTTTAGTTGTCACAGCAGTGGTGAATGACTCCATTTCGGTGATCAGATCTAAAGGCATACTCCTGGCAAGAGGTATAGCAGAGGGAATGAAAAACGCCAGAGATGGCGTGGACGTGGGCGTGGCTGCGGGCGTAGGCGTGGGCGTGGGTGTGGGCGTCGGGTAAACTATCGACGGCTTTCTGTGAGGGACTGACGACAAAGGACGCCCAGCTTCATCGAAGTGCACCACAAGACTGCCGGGGAGGGAGAGAAAACGAGAGGTCAAGGGTTATGTTTCGGCTCATGGGTCAAGTTAGAGGTCATGTCAAACATAATTTATTAAGTCAGGGGTCGTATCAATATAAAATTCTAGATTCTATTAAATAAATAAGTCTGGAGGCCCGCCTACAATGTCTGATGTTCAGATGGGCAGAGAATGATGTCTGTCATGCCTTGCCAGTAATTCATTGACTCTTATACTGTTGCAGTAAATAATTTATATAATTACATAAACTTTTGACCTTTGCTTGTAATTTTGCCATTCTCGCCTTTCATTCAATTATTGTTATACCTTAGTGTTAAGTAATATTCTCTCCAGTTGCTGATTTATTTTTCTCGACTTAATTCTTTATCTTGCTGATTCCTTTGATAAATTTTCTTATGGTCCAAGTTAAAACTGTTTCCAATGAATCTGAGACATTTAGAAAGTAAAACTTTTAGACTTAGAATACTCACAATTTTAATGTTTTATTAATTTCCTTCTTTACTGTCTCAGTACATCACGTGAGCTTGATAGAACGCGCAGACTCAAGTCTCGACCGAACAAACATAATTCCGCTAATGCACGACGCACTACAAGACAGTTACTTCTGTGCGACAGCCTGCATTCTCAGTAGGTGAAAATTCTAGTTAGTGGCGTGATAGTGCGAGGTTAGTGCAGGCTGTTGCTTCCCTAAATACAGCTATCATACCAGACCCTTCTCGAGATTCTTACATGCGACAGGCTCTCACTTGCGATGGCAATCCTGAATTACTTGAGAAATGGTACCTGTCTGCTGAGAGATTTGTCGAAGATACATACGGCTGCCAGGTAGCTGGTAACTACATCCACCTTGCTCTCACTTCTAAAGTGCAAGGTTCGTTAGAAGCAGAACTTATTACATTTTATTTAATAAATGTAATAAAAAGGTTGAGTATTGATTGAGAAAAACCATGATGTGGGAGAAAAACCTCCCTTGCTGGTATCAGTGCGTTGAATGTACTGAAAAAACTCATCACAGACCTAATGGATAACAATTGCGTTGACAAGAATGTCAGGATCTATGCTTGAGAAAGAACATTTTTGCTGTTCAGTAATGAGTCGTGGTGTATCTTCTGGCATTTGCCAGGCTCTTCATCTAAGATTTATGAAGCATACCAAGCAACAGATGAGCTCAAAGAGCCAAGTAATCGTAATAAAGTGTGTCATTCACTCAGTGTTGTGCCATCCATACAGCACCTTCGCTAGTACAAGTCATTACCGCTTATGTTGAACCTATCCCACCGCTGCCACCAAAATGTAAATTTGATGCTGAGAGCTGAATAAAATTTTGCACTCACAGGAATGATTTACTTAATAGTTTTAAATTAGAGCCAGTGACAATGAGGAAGCAATCGAGAGGTGACGCCTATAGCATAAGGTATAGTGAGAGTAATGCATCGCTCACATGGTCCACGCTGCCACACTCGTCTGATTCATGCCAGCACTGAGAGTGGCTTTGGGGACTAGATACAGGACTATGGCAGGTTGAAATAGGTAAAAGTGAAGGGTTATACTACACTGGGCAGTCATATCAGGTACTTACCTGGTTACTTCCCTGGATGCTCACTTGGGTAATTACCAAAGTATTCTCGGGTATTCACCTGAGTAGTCACGTGGGCACTCACATGACTATTTACATGTGCACTTACCTTAGTACTCACTTGGGTACATTTTCAGAGTGGAGAGACCATTATCAAATCTTTAATTTAGATAAAATATAAAAATGGATCGAAATATCGTATTTTTTAAATCTTCATCTTGTAACTTGCTTGTCCTTGCAGAAGTATGCATGATGATGATGAAGGGGTCTTGATCGAAGGAATTAGGGCCACTCTTACATTACTTGGATCATACTTGAGTCCTTTCCATTCCCAAGGAACTGTGTAACTCATACAGATTTACTACTTCTCCATCGGTATAAAAATAATAATATCGAATGATTGTCAATGGTTCTAGCAAACCTTCGAAAGAAAAGACTCGATGCCAGTGATGTACTCTTGATCGAAGCAGTTAATGCTGCTCTTTACCCCCATCGTTGTATGGCCCTCAAAATAATTACTAATGCATACTTATTGGGTGAAGGTGCCGTTCACCTAAGACTAATACAAGGGTTCGATTCCAATTTGGTGCGCCTTCTGGTAATGTTAGAACGGTACACGAGATCGATCTTCAACTGTAACGTCTCTTTCTCATGTAGGATTGACAAAAGAGTTCGATTCCCACCTGGAACATCTGGCCATGTAAGGCTGATACACGGTTCTATTCTCACCTGGAACATCTGGCCATACAAGGCTGATACACGGGTTCTATTCCCACCTGGGTGTAAAGGGAGCAAAATAAAGACAGCAGAAAAACTTTTGACTTGTATTATCCTTCACCAATTTAGAACAGAAGTATGTACACTATATACACTATGTACAACAATAAGTATTAGTGCACTCCACGGTAAGTAAGGCAGAATAGAAACCACTAGAGAGCAGACTGTGCTTCAACCAGCTCTAGAATGGGAATGACAAGGGCAGACAGGCGAGTGGTACCCACATCACCTGTGCGATTGCCAAAACCATCTTCTCATTGGCTGGAACCTGGGTACTGATTGAACGACGGGGCCCCATCATCAACCCTTAGTACCTGGTTCGCTGGTTGGGGAGATAGCCTTTCAATGAGGGTGTGTACATGCGCCGAATAAAGGTTACGTACTCTTTGCATGCCACACCATGCAAGGCTGATACACAGGTTCTATTCCCACCTGGAATACCTGGCCATGCAAGGCTGATACACGGGTTCCATTCCCACCGGGTATGTCCGGGTTTGAGCCTCACCTAGAATGCCTTCTCTTCATATATTCCTGGTAAAACTTTTCTAACTTCACTGTTTCTCTCTCCCTACGAACATATTTGACAAGGACGATGAGGAGCGAAGTAGAGAAGAACAGCAACACAAACACGATGTACACTACTGCCATGGCGTCCTCAGCGGGGTCCTGAAAAGATAAGAGAGAGATAATGATGGGAATGGAGAAGGTTAGAAACGAAGAATAATGTGGATTTTTTTTTTTTTGCATTTTTGGCTTTGTACTCGTATGTTGTTTTAAAGATAATAGCGTCTCATGCTTTTATGCTTCGGGCACAAGAACCGGAAGTGATATGCTGGGGCATCCTTAATTAATACCATGTTCGTTCATTAGTCTGTGTACTAATGTCGACTTTCGTTTTTTTTCAGCGTTAAGATGTGGTGTTTTAGAGATAGTTGTTGTGAGGTTTCGGGTTGTTGTAGTTAGGTGATGGTAGTGGTAGGGTAATGGTTCTTGGGATGGTGCTAGTGGTAGACTGTGGTGGTGATTGGAGTGGTGATGTGGGTGGTAGTGGGTAGGTGCTGGTGTCTCTGGTGGGAAAGAAGTGGTTGTGAGGAGGTGATTGTGTATTTGAAGCTCATCTGTTGCTGTTGGATTGCCCTTGGTCCTGTGTTATGTATGCAGTGTCCCTTCCGAGTTCTTCATTCTTACCATATCTGAGCAGTTGGAATTTGTCACCAGTGAACACTATTTTCTTTTCTGCTGCCCATTGAAAGACTTGCTAATATCCCCTTGCCCAGTTTTCGTGTCTTCCACCAAGACGACTTTCAATTAACGTGATATATGATTGGATCTCGCAAAATACAGGACTAAGGATAAAAAAACAAACATCGCACTTAACTTCACTTATCACTAACACAGACATGAGCTGTGCCACCGTGTGTTCGAGTGCTGGCTTGGAATCCCGTGATCCGAAACAAGAAAAACGCTGTAATTACATTACCGTTATGTAAATTGCTTTGAGGTTTGTCAATACTCTAATAATTGGATTCTCTTTCTACAACGTAAATGACAAAGCCTTTTTTTTATAAGTTACTTTTTGTCCATTGATCACATTTTTTTAGTATTTTGAATAAAATTGTACTCGGCAATAACAAATCAATAATCTTTCATGTAAGAATTGGGGAGCTAGCAGATTCACTAAATATGTGTAGTGGAGGAATTGTGTTGGGCTCTAACCACTAACCCCACGGACGTAAGATAAACAATTGCACCTCTGAATCTTTTATTAAATAATATATTACACAGAACTTTTACTTAGCTCATTTTGGAGAGTGTAATATTTTTTATATAATGTATATAACGAATTAAAGAACGAAATTAATATAGACATACCATAGTTATACTACACAATAAACTTGGTGGAAGAAGACTTCTTAGAATTTAACGAGGCTCTCTACTATGATTCACCATCTTGAAGACGAATAGCCTACTATGGATAAAAAGGAAGAAAAGACACACCTTACAGAATTTTTTTAAATCAATGTTTCGCTCAGCGTTAGGCTTTACACAGCGCAATACGTTGTCCAAATACAAACCTGTCCTGCAACGTGTCCTCTCTTTACTAAATAACATCAAAAAAATTTCATCTTCAAAAATCTTACCCCATAGAGGTATTTATCCACATATTACTTGCAATATTATTATTTACACAACAAAAAAAAAATCCTCTTTAAGGGTATTTATTCAAATATTGTTTGTAACATCGTTACTTACATCACAATACAAACCTTTCTTGAAGGGGCAAAAATTAACTGTCACTATCAACACTGTGATATAATAGCAGAGCAGAAAATGTGAAAAACCTAATCCAGTACATTAAACTCGAAGAAAACTGAATTCTGATGGATTCGCACTTCATCTAAGGTTTCTATTGTTATGTTCGTGACACTAATATATGACGGACGCGCAGGAAAGCTTTAGAATTCCCTGTGCATAACTGATTCGTTGAAGCATGTAACACTATAAAATGCGAAAAGAGGAAGATTTTCTCCTATCGTGGATATATTGTGCAAACAATAATCGTAAGGATCTACTCAAGAGTTTTGTGTTTTGATTTGCCACTGCAGGTGGGTAAGCCTTCCTTCATATATACATTTATGCACCACCTCAGGTGCGTAAGACTACCATACCTCGCAATTGCATACACGCACTACCACTAGGTGCGTAGCAATATTACCCTCACAATTATTATTGACGCCAAATCTTACATTATGACGCATTGGCTAGTGCCTCGAATAATTTTCAGAGCCTAGATCAAATTCATTAGCCTACGGGAAAGATCAGTATCATCTGCAGTTGTATGAAAAGCACAAGTAGACGCAATTTTGTCTCGGAATAACTGAACAATACCATCAATAAGACAACCTAAATAGCATGACGGTACTCCAACACCAACATTAAGTTTCCCCAACACCAACAATACTAGGATAAGTTTTCCCAAGCTCAGCAGCACCACCATTAAATTGCTGTGACGAAGAGTGCTTATGTACTTCCTTCATTAAGCCTAAGATTGAATATTATATTATAGTCATCCGTATATTTATTTATTCTCTGTTAGTCTGAACTATTTGGAGCTGTAACATTTCAGGTAAAGGAATAAATAAATATTGTTGTGTGTAAATTCTGTATTTGTATCTGTCTTTTGCGGTTGTATTTAAGCATTCTATTATACAGCATTGTGCAGGGAAATAGGTGTGGATGCAGAAGCTAATGGACACGAAGCAAACAGGTCCAGGCAGTGACTACTCTCAAAAACATTTCAAGTATATGAATTACCAAGATCATGTGATATGCTATGAGGTACATCTTGATTGGCTGCTTTCACTCTGACAGCTTTGTGATATTTCTCGAGGCAGATCCTCAGCCGCCCTTCCTCAGCCTGCAACCAGTAGTTTGGTGTCTTTTTTCCTACGTTAAGACAGCGTAAGTTGCTTGTGTCTCTCCCTCTGCTGAGCTGGCATGTGTGTGTGTGTGTGTGTGTGTATGTAGAACATGTAAGGTGAAGGTATACACTGGAGTTGGTAAACTTTTATTTCTCCTAAATGCGTATTATCAGATTAGGGTCTCTTTGGCTTCATGTCTCTGCCCTGCATGGTGATTGTAGGGATCTTCTCCATAAACATACACAAACTTATTCACCAACATTATTCCATACCTCCTCACGGAAATCTTACTGATAGGACTCGATTATGTCTCCTGTATGTTTGAATTAACCCTTTATTTTCATTTGAAACTATTTTAGATACCTTTCACTTTAATGAGACTAGGTGTTTAATTTCTAGAATGGCAACCACAGATTATCTATATACGGTATATTCTAGAACCAAAGAAATTATTTCGATTAATAACTGCATTAAGATTTTTTATTTTTATTTTCCTTAGGTGATGTAATAAACGTAAAATTATTTTTCTGATTTTAATTTTTTTTCTTATGTGTTGCAGATTATTTATTTCTAGCTCAGCACCTGTAATGTATTAACCCAGAAGTGTATAAAATTTCTAAATGATTCACGTGAATAATATTCAGCTAAATCACACATCAGGGTGCAGCTGGTAGTGAATACGTAATCAATGTCTTTGTTATGAGACAATTGTTTCAGTCTGTGATGGATTGCTCCTCTTCTCTATGTGGATAAACAAATAAAAAACCTGGGGGAAAATATCGCTTTTACTGTTACCACAACGCTAGCATCAAATTACCCCAACACCAGGAACACCAATATTAGGTTTCCTCATTACAGCAACACGGTGATACCAGAGAAGTGTTAAGAATTTCTAATGGTTGAAATCATAACCATATTTTTTTTAAGGGGTGGACCGGTGAGCCAGTGAAGGCCTCGGTCAGATAACCATAAGCTCCAATGGCAGGTCATCATATGACTAGGATCCGCGTCATAAAACACTTGTCCTGTTTCCTGACAAATCTTAACTAACCTAAACTCTGAAGATGGTTTCAAAGCCGTAACGCCGCCAGGTATGTGTACAGAGACACAAGTATGCCGGACAAACCTTTAATAGGACAACGTTTCTTTCTAATTAGCAGTTTTGTTCGACGTTTTGTCTAACATTGTCTAAATGAAGGAATCTCTTTGTTCACACTGTCTCAAGTTTTACTACACGCAAGTTATTTTATTTAAAAGACTTGTAAAGATGGGATTATAATCGTAACTAAGTGCTAAACCCATATGGGTCAAACAGCGCTGATGCATTGCTCTCAAACACGAAATCACCACTATCTTTAGCCTCATCCTCGCTGCAATGTTTAAATATTCGACGGTATTCTCCCGGCCCGGGCCTTTTCCAAGTGCTGGCCCGGCCTTGGCTCCCTGTCTAGGGAGTGTCTGAGACCTAAGTCTCCCATGGAAGGAGGCACAAGTACCCCCTCATCGTCGGGACCAACTGTCTCCAAGCCTATCCACATTCTCCGCCCTCACGGGGTTCGTAGGGAGAAGCTAGGCCTCTCAGGTCTGCCATCCCCGTCCCAAGGGGACTAATGGGAATGACAGTCTTGTGAGTTGCAAGCTCTGGCTCAGGCACCTACCCTATTATTATAAATTATTATTAGTATTTTTATATTATTAATTATTATTATTAAAAAAAAGGCACAATAGTATTTTTAATTATATTATTAATAATAATTATTAATGTTATTATAATTATTATTATAAATATTATATTCTGACTCACGAAATCGAAATAACTCGGTAGTAAACAACTCCCAGAACGGGTGGAGCTTCAACCCATGGCAGGAGAGCCCGAGAACTCCTAAGCCAGCGTGCGAGTTTTATGACTGGCCTGCCAAGGCTTCCAGCCCCACCCATTCTGCGATTTGATTATTACAGTCACGATATTGATGATGTGATAATAAGATTACCTCTAAGCTGTATATTTGGAGATCTCTTGCGTCGTGTTTAAACTACATTTCCATAACGCGCTCACTTGCGGGTGTACTCGGCCAATCTAGCCCCGCGACACATGCTACCGCAAGACCGAACGTGACAGAACAGACAAATCCTGCGTCGGGGCATGTGGGGAGTGCAAATACGCTGGTATCCCTGGGCAAATATTGCAAACGTGTTAAATTGACATAGAATATTTTGTGGAAAGTGATGTTCGCGGATTGCTTAGTAATAGGGGAGGCGTTTTGTTTGATGGTGAGGCGAGCTGGGGACATTGACACTGATATTGGTGGATTGCTTGGTAATGGGGTCTGCGTTTTGTGTGATGATGTGGTGTATTTCGGTGTCAGTAAACAGAGCTTTCTTATTGACTGGGCAAGCCAAACAAAGTAAGCAGAATCTCATCTTATTGATTGGGAAGTTATACTACGTAAGAATCACTAACACATTGACTGAGAAGCTTATGTTACGCATGCAACACAAACACATTAATTGCGAAGCTTATGCCAAGCAAGCGGCACAACCACATTGACTGGGAAGCTTAGGCTAATCTTAGGCTAATTAAGCAGCTAGCTGTGAGTCGCACTTGTGCAAGTAGACACACGTGTATAGCACCGCACGCCAGCTGCACGAAAAATGCACGAAAAATGCACGAAAAAGTCACAGTGACTTTTCCTGACGAATACAACACAGACAGCATAGAGAAGGGAATGGAAATAATTAAATAATGAGGAAAAACTCCTTATTGAGATTATTTCCCTCTCGTTTATTTACTGTTTGATATATTGTAATGATTACTGTATGATATATCACCGAATGTCTAAGAAAATGTCAGTACATTGTCTTTTCCTGACGAAATCAACTGCCTTATTGAATTCACCTACCTTGATAAATTCACCTGTCCTGAAGAAGTCACTTGTCTTGATGAAGACACCTGTCTTGATGAAGTCACCTGTCTAAATGAAGTCACCTGTCTTAACGAAGCCACCTGTCTTAATGAAGTTATCTGTCATGATTAATTCACCTGTTTGATGAGCTAAACAAAAGCAAACAATGTTTGGATGAAAATATAACGAAGGACACAATAAATCTTCTACAGCATTTTATTGCGAATTGAATAGAAAGCCAACAACTAACAGCTTCACTGGACCGGAGCTGCATACTCACCTGACCTTTCGAGTTCGTTTTGTTCCCAGACTTCAACGATGATCTTAATTCTCCATGAAGATCCGAGGTATCATCGGTACAATATGTCTGAGAAGATATTATTATTATTATTATTATTATTATTATTATTATTATTATTATTGTTGTTGTTATTGTTATTATAAGAATTTTGTTATTGTTATTATAAGAATGCTCGAAACTCCTTAAGAATCTAGTATAAAGGCATACAGACACACACACCATATATATATATATATATATATATATATATATATATATATATATATATATATATATATATATATTATATATATATATATATATATATATATATACATATAATATATATTAATATATATAATATTAATCTTTATATATTAAATATATATATATATATTATATATATATATATATTATAATATATAATATATATATATATTAGTACCGAATAGGTAAAACTGGTCATTTAGCAAGAACTCATTTAAAATTAAGTCCTTTCTAAAAGCTTATCTTATACGTTTAAAGATATATTTTTTTCATTTATGTTAATGTAAAAATTAATAATTTTGTACCCAGAGAACCTTAGAAAACTTACCTATGTAACATTATAACAAGCACAATTTAAATTAGCCTAATCCATCGAAATATATTTTAGATAAGTTTACAATAATTTAATAATAAATAAACACAATGAAATATATTTCTTTCGTTAGGTTCAAAATGATTTTTGCGAAATTATCGCAATACTGCAACAATCCTACAAATTAGCCGGAAACAAGAGTCCTAGCTCCTTGTACCTCATGGCTGGAAAGAAATATTTTAGAATCGGTAATTATAAAAGATTATGAACGTTCTTTATATAATAAGAACTTCGGATTACTCAAACTCGATTCGTTTATAACTGAGGCCATCATGCGTAACCTGAAACTGAATTCTTATTTGAATGCTTTTGATGATTGTCTTAAGTGTAGTTCCACACCAGTGAAGTAGGGTCTGTTTTCCTGCTCTTTCTTATGTTAGACCACCGTCTGCTCAAGTGTTGGGTGGACAGATAAACTATAGACGTCTCCCTCTTGATAAACTATAGACGTCTCCCTCTCGATAAACTATAGTGTGCTGAAAATATCTAGCCTAGACAGGACTCGCAGCAATGGTTTTAAGTTGGAAAAATTCAGATTCAGGAAGGATATAGGAAAGTACTGGTTTGGTAATAGAGTTGTGGATGAGTGGAACAAACTCCCGAGTACAGTTATAGAGGCCAGAACGTTGTGTAGCTTTAAAAATAGGTTGGATAAATACATGAGTGGATGTGGGTGGGTGTGAGTTGGACCTGATAGCTTGTGCTACCAGGTCGGTTGCCGTGTTCCTCCCTTAAGTCAATGTGACCTGACCTGACTAGGTTGGGTGCATTGGCTTAAGCCGGTAGGAGACTTGGACCTGCCTCGCATGGGCCAGTAGGCCTTCTGCAGTGTTCCTTCGTTCTTATGTTCTTACGTTCTTATAGACGTCTCCCTCTTGATAAACTATAGACGTTTCCCTCTTGTTTTGAGTGAGTCAGCCGTAGACCCGTTTTCCTTAATATTACGGAATGAAGTTAGGAGAATTTGTCATATTGAATAGAGGCATTCGACAGGGATGCCCTATGTCTCAAATGCTCTTTGCTTGCATGCAGGACCCTTTTTATTGGACAGTTTGTGGCTGGGGAGTAGATTCGTCGTGGTTCGGGTAGTGATCGACCAGCCATAGTAGGTTATGTAGATGATACAACTGTCCTATTACGTACGAGGGAGCAATTGAGTTTTGTGGGAAGACTTGTAGATGTATTTGGTAAGGCAACAGGAATGCGGGTTAACAAAGAAAAATGAAAGATTATGAAGTTGGGAGATTGGGCGAGAGAGGAGGTAGGTATAGAGACGTGGACGGTGTTTGACTGTGTTAACATACGTGGTATACAGTATATGAGAGAGGTTGATAAGACGAGGGCATGTAATTCGGGGAGGGTGGTAAATAGTGTTTTGAGGCGTATAAATAGTCTAAGGGCGATAGTAATCAATGTTCTTCTTTATAGTAAAGTTTGGCACATTGCTGCGCTGTATCCACTAATACAGGGGGATCTCAAACATCTTTTAAATAGAGTTTATAGATTTTTGTGGGGCTCAGGGTGCGACTGGCTCACAAGAGCGGTGGTAGAGACACCAATGCGTCAAGGAGGGTTAGGTCTTGTTCCTTTAAGAGACCAAGTCATTGCTTGTTATGTGAAGCGTCGTTTTCTCCGGCTGGGTGGCAGGCATGGTGGTTTAACAGAAATGTATCGTGACCTGCGCAGGTGGTGGGAACGGACAGATTTAATTAGGTGCGAGACGATGCTACGTGTGTTACTGTGCATGCGAGACGTGCGGAGCGTTAAATTGAGTACTTTGGAAAGAGTGGGTATGGTGAAAGTTGTGGTGAGAGTTCAGGGAATGTTCCCCATGTACGCGTGGTGTGATATATGGAAGCGGGTTCATCAGTTACGTCTCCTTCCTCGAGTACGCGAAGTGGTTTTTAAATTTTTGCATGGGATTCTGCCGTCCAAGGTGGTGTTGTCTAATCGGCGTGTAGAGGAGGATCGGAGTTGTTCAGCGTGCGGGGAGGACGAATCAGCGTTTCATGTTGTGTATTTCTGTGAAGCTTTAGGTATAGTACGTGCGTGGTTAAGCAGGGTTTTACGAATGGTAGGGGGAGGGGGAGGTTTGTCAGTACTTAGGGCGTTGAGTTTTGATGTGGGTGGGGTTGACATCTGTGTACAACGTGCAGTGTCGTATGTCGTAGCCGATTATATTTATGTGTAATGGGCTATGAGGCATGTTGAAGGTAATGGCAGAATCCGGGTTTTAGCGGGAACAATTCTTAGAACTAAGTGTCGAAATCAGTTGGTATATGAGGGGAGATGGGAGAAATATTTCCCGTCTGCATATAGAGCGTTAGAGTTAAAGAATTTGAGATAATTTGTGTTCGTTCAGTGGGTAATCTAACGGGCTGGTCAGCTGCTTTTAATTGTGTGTAAATGTCTTGTGTTTGTGAATGTTGTATGTATGTCTCCAATGTTGTATGTATGTCTCCAATGTTGTATGTATGTCTCCAATGTTGTATGTATGTCTCCAATGTTGTATGTATGTCTCCAATGTATGATGACATATAAATGTAACAAATTTGTATGTGAGGACGTAAAATTTTGCTTTTTATTCTGTATCCATCATGTATTGTATGATGTGTTTTCTATTCATGTAATATATGAATTACATGTAATTGATTACATTTATTTGTTGAGAGTAAAATAACAATCGTATTTGTTTATTTGGATTTTCTGTCGTCGATTCATTAATACCTATGTATTTGTTGTATAGTGTGTTGTGTGTGTTTTATTGTAGTGTTGGGTTTTTAACACAATGAATTATTAACAGTCTATATTATTACCCAGTGTGCTTGCCATTTTATAACAACGTAGACATTTCTTTAATAATTATATGTGTTGTCTGAGTATAAACCATTTTCATACTTTGTTTGTGTGTAGGTGTTCCATTTATATTGTACGGTATCGTTGTCGTGTGGATTTTGTAATTAACCGCTTTTTTTGTGGTTTTAATATACATTATCTTTGTGTATCTCACTGTTTAATAATAAAAAAATATTACGGGAATTTCTTAAGCAATGCCAGATGTATCTATATTCAGAATTAAAAGTTTTTTTTTTTGATATCGTATCGAAGTCTGACCGTTTTTTGATAGTTAAAATGTCAGTAACATATTGTTCGTTAGGTCATTACTACATTATCAGTGTTTGTGGGCCGGCTGTTTTCTACTGATTTAATATTCTGCCTTCATTTCTCTGGCACTTGGCACTGGTCTGCCTGGTGTTATCTACTTCATTCGAACTAGAACCGTTCCCTGAACAAATCTGCCTGGACTTTCTACTCATTTCTGCAATATGACTTGTATATTCTGAAAAAGGCTGCAGTAAGAGCTATCATCGAATTGCCCCTGCTGTTGCTTTGTACACAGACCGAAACTTAGTATATAATAAAGGTTTGTTTTCTACAGCACGTGTAGACAATATTTGCCGCTCAACATATCATTAGGCATTTCTCAGGATTCTGAATGCATTTAACTAGGTGGTGGATCCGCATTTGGCATTAATGTTTATGTATCTTTCCATGTGTCTGTGTTTTTAGGTGGGTGTTTTGTATTTATATAATTAATTTCCTGTAAACTTTATTTTATATGTGGATCGTTAGTCTGTGATCCTTCACATCATCATCAGAAAATTACAATTTGTGCTCATACTTGTAAACAAAATTGTATAGCTTCTGTGCACTAACATTAAAGAGAAAGAAAAAAAGTTTATTCATGGGAAGTTAACTGTGATAAATGACGTACCTTTATGACCTCGAAAAGAAATTCCTTAAGGCGAAGTTCTTCTTCAGTATCGTAGCGGTCTTTCAGTGATTTATGTTTGGAGAAGGTGGTGGTGCTCATGGCTGCTGCTAGTGGTGTTGACGACGGTCCTCTTGGCGATGCTAATAGTAGTGCTACTGTTGCTGCAGCTGTTGTTGCGACTGGTGACACTTTTTCTGCTGCTGCTATGGCTACAGCTGTTGTTGCTACCGGTGCTGTTGCTACTAGTCTTCTGCTTCAGGAACAACTTATAAATGAAACGGGATAAAATTTCTGTAAATACTGTGAAACACTGGAAGTGTAGAACATAGAGAGTAAATCTTGATACACAAGCGAAACATAATAACACAAAAAATATGAAAATTGTATATTTAATCCTCATACTGAGACCCTTTTTATTTTTGCACACTAAAAACGGAGTAGTTAGAGACAGCCAATAAGATATCCCCAGTATGAAGAGCTCTCCCTGCTGGAAGGATTACGCTGCCCTTCTCCAAACATTCTCGGAGAAGGGCAGCGATAGTCTCACTTAAGGAACTATCCCAGCGGGACGGATTGTCCCACTGCAGATACACCAAGAGTCTCGTTACATGACTACAATAATATTGTTCTAAATAACTAAAAAACTGCGATATTGTGACAGGGTTGAACTCAACCGCGGGCATCATCGACGGTGTTGTACATAAGAGTCGTATTGGTGCTGTATATTTGACGATGCTCAACTATTTCGAGATAAAAAAGTGAAGTTTGTAGGAGTGACGTTCAGTGCTCAGGAAGTTGGAAAACAAAAATAAACCTAGAAACAAGTAGTAGCAGTAGAAAAAGATAGCGAATAAAAAAGAAAACGAAAAGGAAGATAAAATATGAATAATAAAAGAGAAAAAGACTAGAAAAATGTAGAAAAATATAAGCAGAAGTAAAAGAAGAAGTAGAAATAATGATGATAATAATAATAAGAAATAGAAGAAGAAGAAGAAGAGAAGTTGAAGAAGAAAGGAAAAAGAAGAAATAATAATAATTAATAATAATAATAATAATAATAATTAATAATAATAATAATAATAATAAGATAATGATAATAATAATAATAATATCTGAAGTATATGAAGACAACATCAGTCGACATAAGGTCACTGACCGGCGGAAACTGCTCACAAACAGCATCTGTGAGCTATTCAAATTTCTATAAGGCCCAGACACTCAGTTTACGAGTTTCAGAGACAAAACCTCTGAATTTTCAAACTCTGATTAGGGTTTTCATCTTCTAAGCTGTTTGAAAGTGAAGGAGACTGAGGACCACAAAAATTTTTTGGTCTTCGTTGAAAATAAGTCATACTGATTTTTTGTGAGGGGGGGGGGAGGGATCTAAAGTTTTTACTCTTCACTATTAACCTTCAGTGTATGTATATAAAAATAATATGTCATTTACAATTTAGAGAATGTATAACATCTGTAAACCATATATATGATGAATCCAGAATAAATGATTTATAATTATATTATTATTATTATTAGTTAGTAGTAGTAATAGTAGCAGTAGTAGTAGCAGTAATAGAGGTACTAGTAGAAATAAAGGTAATATGGTAGTAATAGTAGAAGCAGTGGTAGTAGAAGCAGAAGTAGTACTATTGGTAATAGTAGCAGTAGCAGTAGTTGTCGTAACAGAATTAGTAATAGAAGAAGTAGTAGCAGTAAGTAGTAGTAATAACAGTAGTAGCAGTAGAAGAGCTAGTAATAGCAGTAATACAAGTAGTAACAGTAGTATTAGTAGTAATAGCAGTAGTTAGTGTAATAGTAATAGCAGTTGTAGTACAAGTAGTAGTTGTAGTAGTACTAGTAACAATAGTAGTAGTAGTTGTAGTAGTATTGGTGATGGTAGAAGTAGAATTAATTTTCATAATCATCATTATCATTAATGAAGGAGACAATGATGGAGGCTTTCAAGAGCATAAACCTACCTTAGCTCAGTTCAGAATTGTGCTTCGGCTGGGCTCTCAAGTCAAAAAAATAAAAAAGATATTGACTGATAACACCACGAGGCTCTCGGACGCGTGTCAACAAAACCAATTCATCGGATAATCTTGCCTTGAAGCGCTGACGCTAGACAACAAAGGGGCAAGATAGGATGAAATCTCTGTCGATGTTTACGTTTATCTACCAGAAATAGGCTTAGCATTTAAGAGCTTTCCATTTAAAACTAGTCTCTGAGGGCTGAGAGAACTGGTCATGAGAATAGGAGAAGGTAAAGAGAAGGGAGGGAACCTGTGATATGTGCTAGGACTAGGAAAGTGCTAGGAGTCAAAAGAGGGCTGGGCAAAGTATTGGGGCATCACTGGGGGCTAAAAATGGGTAGGGAAATGAGAAAGGGGGCTGATGAGGGGGCTAAGATTGAGGAAGGGGCTGAGAGAGGTGCTAGAAATGAGAATACGAGAGCGAGAAGCAAGAGAGGGATAAGTATTGGAGAAAGAAGAGGAATCGCAGTGAGGAATATAGAGTAAGGGATTCACCCCACCAAGACCGGTAATTGATTGAGGAAGCACACGTATAGAGGGGCAGAAGCAGAGGAAGAGGAGGAGAAGAAAGAGGAGGAGGAGAAGGAGGAGGAGGAGGAGAAAGAGGAGAAGGAGGAGAAAGGAAGAAGAAAGAGTAGAAAAGGTGTCCTAGAGGAAAAGAAAAGAGATTGGACGAGGAGGAGGTGAACGAAGATATGTAGAACAAAAAAGCAAATGTATTATGTACCTGCCTCGTGCTACGTAATTCTCAGAATGTTATTCTCTTCCTCTCGCACTCTTCACCCTGTCTTCTCTCCCATTCCAGTCGCAACAGTAAGGTCTTGGGTTCGATTCCCAGGTACGGTGAAATGCGTGACATGATTCCTAACATCCCTTCAGTCCCTGCCCACCTAACTGTAAAATTAGGTACCTGTGTGTGAGCCGACTGCCATGGGTTGCATCCAGGCAAAAAAACTGCGTAAGAAAACTTCAGTGTTTGGGAAAAGATATACGCAAAATACGGTGTATCAAACGATAATAAATACGGAACAAATTTCTGTCTGTCTGTCTGTCTGTCTGTCTGTCTGTCTGTCTGTCTCTCCTCTCTCTCTCTCTCTCTCTCTCTCTCTCTCTCTCTCTCTCTCTCTCCTGTCATCGCTAGAGAATGTTTCACTCACACCGCCAGGAATGTAAACCCATGAGCCTGTGTGTTATACATGCCAATCGATCAGCTAAATCTGTTCTATGCTAACGTGCATGGCATGACATAGAAAGGAAAAAGCTGTAACTACGTACATATGCCCCTAACATCATAATCTCATAGCTTTTGTTTATACGATCATGAATGTTGTTAATAATTCACACTAAGCAAACGAAAAGAGTTTTTTCTGGATATATATATTTTTTTAAATGAAGCCCTCACGCATAAGAAAGATGATGGTATATTCCAATACTTGAACAATGCTTTCCATGCCATTATTTTCCTCTTTGCAAACAAGCGCCAAATCTCATGGGTCGTACAACATGCATGTAAAGTATCTGTAACAAGCTGCAAAAGCTCGTGATTCCCTTAACTTGGCCTAACGCTAATGCGGATTTCTTACATATATTTCCATATTAATTCCTCGAACCTATGTCATTTAGATTAGGGGAGGTTAGGTTTGGCTATGATAAAGTGTCGTAAATGAAAGCAAGAAAAACAAAATTTTTA